ATGACTGAAGCGAATGGTGATTTTATTGAATAAATTTACACTTTAGAATTTCGAGATATTTTTGTGTAATTTTGATAATATTTATCTGTTAAAATGAGATGTCAGTATTATTCTCATTTTTGCGTAATTTAGAGAATTTGAAAAGAAAAAAAATTATAAGAGTACATTATATAAAATTATATGATAAAAAACATAATCACAACACCTTTTTCAGTCGTTTTTAACGAAACTTGCATATATATATATATATATATATATATATATATATATATATATATATATATATATAAAATAAGGAAACAATCAGTATTTAACACAATATCTTAAATGAAGTGGGAAAGCAGTTAATAATTATTTGGTTCATATTTTATACATCCAAACAGACAATTTATATATATATTTATATAATCATAATATATATATATATATATATATATATATATATATATATATAAGGTCGGCCAAAATGTTCGTTCTCTATATTTTCAAATCTAACGTGCAGTAAGACATTGTTAACAGTAATATATGCAATTGTAGAAATAATAGTAGATGTCCATTAGATGGAGTTTGCAAAATTGCAGCAGTAATTTACAAAACTGAAGTAATAGATTAAATGACCAGAAATATATACTGAGGTTAAAAGAGATGGAACAATCATGAGTTTTCTTTTAAGCCTTAGAAATTCTACTAAACTGGCCACCCATGTGTGGAAATTAAGGGAGAAAAAGAAAAAAGAAAAAAAACTATAAAATTTAAAACAAAACTTACAACAATAATAGCAACATCTGCAAGCTTTGTCAACAAGAAAAATTTAGCTATAATAACATTTCTAGAGCAAAAAACATTTTGAACCAGAGATCGGAAGTTATGACATGTTATATGCATACTAAAATGTCCCTTTTGTGTTCATTTGAAGTGGGATAAAAAGAATGTGCATATATTTCATTTAATCCTCCACTGATACATTTCCAATAAACTTGATTTCTCCTCCTTTTCCTACTTTTTGCCAGATTTTGAATTATGACACTTTGTATCTTCCACATGTTTTTTCTGACCCCTCACGCACCTGATAAACCTTCATGAACATCCTCGAATTTAAAAGCCCTGATAAACCAATGTTTTTGTATAAAAAAAAACCTTGTGCAACAAATTAAATCCTACACTTCCTGGATAATGTCCCTCGGAGAACGAAACGCATCAGCTATGAATAGTTTTTCCACATATTTTTTCCATTTTTTCCTTTATAGATATACTCTATCTGAAAATTATATATATATATATATATATATATATATATATATATATATATATATATATATGTGTGTGTGTGTGTGTGTGTGTATGAAAATATATAGAAAAATAGAAGAACTGGTTAGGTGAATAGTCCAAAGTTCCTTAGTATTTTTGTTATTATTTTTAAAAAATAGTGCTCGATACAAAAAAGTAGAAATAAATATAATTATTTATTTAAAAATATGATTCCAAATCGCTACATAAGAGATCTCATGTTTCAAAACAAGAGCCGAAAACTTCAATATAATCCTTTAAATTAAATTGAGTTGAAATTAAAAGGGCTCCGTTCCATCTTCAAGCGAAATTTTTGTTGAATAACGTATATCTGAAATTTACTTGTTTTAAAATGAAATCAAAATCACCATGGTAACAGCTAGGGCGAATTGTCTAAAATGGGTAGGCGAGTGTAGGGTGTTAATGATGAGTAGCGGTATAGAGATACTTTCAAGGTGTCAAGTCGGGGGAAGGTGAGGGTGTCAAAAATGAAACGAAGATGTATTAAGCTTTCGTCAAGTTGGCTTGTCTATGGAGATTTATTTATTTATTTTATTTTATTTTATTATGAAAGGGAATTGTGCATATAAAAAGAAAAACTTTCGTAACGTTTGTTTTTTGACGACTTCATAAAGGGTTATCTTTTATGTAAGGTATTTAAACTACTAATTTGGGCTATGGGTTATGAAGGGTGTTATGTTGTATGCAAGTTTGTAGTTAAAAATTTCTACTATGAATCTGATGATTGGGTTATTTGTTAAACAAGTTATATTTTTTAATTTTTTTTTTTTTTTTAATTTCAAACCAAAAATCTGATGATGCCTACAAAAAACCGTTATCTCGTGTCTATTATTTAATAGATTATTATTATTTAGAAGTTTAATAATGTGCAATTTTTCATGGAGGCACAAAGGGCATGGGTCATCCCAAGCTTTACATATTCTAGCCTTGTCAATAATTTTCCATTTAACTTTTGGTGTCTTATTTGTTTCCTTCAAGTGCCAAAATATTTTGATAGTGAAGTCTGGTTTCTTTTGTTTATATTATTAAAGGAGCACTTATGCTGCCTCCATCTATCTTTAAAATTATTCTTCATGGACCCAATGTATATCATATTAGTGCTAGGGCTCTCTGTGGATGAAATAGTACATTGGTATACCACAGAATTAATACAACATTTATTTTCTAATGGGCAGTCTTCTGGGTTTCTACA